TCACCAGCAGCCTCTCTCTGAAGCTTCATAGCCTTAATCTCTTCCCGAGCATTATAAGCATCAGAACGTCTACGTATGGAGTCGGGAAGACCGTTGATCCGAACCTTAAACTCATCGTATTCCCGTTTCACCCGTCTGCGATCCTTCACAAAATCGGAGCGGACCTTGTTCTTGTACGGGTCCCGCTTCAAGTTAAAGTAAGTCTCCGGATTCCTCGGTTCGATACCGTGTTTCCTGCAAAATGGGACCCATATGTTGGCAAAGCTTGCAGCTTCAGCCATGGCTTCAAAAGTGAGGAGGGCCCCACCATCATCGGAAACATAGCAAGAGAGTTTTTCAACCGGGTAGTCCGCTGCAAGGATAGACAGTATGGTATTCGCAGTAACAAGTGGTGGCTCCTTTTCTGGGTCTGCAGTGGAGACAAAGATGTCAAGACCGGGAAGATCAGATTTTCCAGAAGGGTTGGCCGGAGATGGCGTTTCAAATTTCTCTTTTAGGACATTGAGATCAGTCGCACGGTTGATGGGGCAAAGCTTGGGAAGTTGATCTAAGAGCCACGAGAAGGCAAACCAAATCTCACATATGATTGACATGTACCATAACCATATCGCGTCGTTGTTCGGGTGGCTGACCCTCCATGCAAGGAACAGTCCCAGTACAACAATGCGAATCAAAATCAAAAGCCTATCAAAACCAAGGAAATAATATTAGGAATTATAATAATAAAGGTACGTTTTTTTTCCAGCAAACAAAGGCTTACCGGTATGGACTGATAACAGCAGCAGGTATTTTCAGTTTCCGTGTGAGTGGTCTCCATGGCTTATTAAGAAGTTCCGAAGGCTCGCCGCCATTGGATTTATCATTTCCAGAACCCCCATCTTCCTCCTTTGGCCATATCGCATTACCGTAACCATATGTTCCTTTTGTCTCAAACAGCCATCTATTATGATCAAAATCCCCTGTTTGACTCCTAGTCAACCTGGACTGACTTCTGACTAGTGCTGATTCATTCCCCGATTTCATCAACGACAACCTTCTCTCCATCTTTGATGTCCCAACGCTTGATGGCAAAGACAAAGGTTGTCTGCTGGGGTCCACGGCGCTGCTCTGATCCAGCAAGTCAGTGTTCTTGTAAGCCTCTTTACAACCCGGACAAATTCCCTCGCCAGCTTTCACGGCATCTATATAACAATCCCTACAAATCTTGAAATCACATTCACACGGGAGAATATCCTCGCCACGTTCGTCGCGCATCACCTTCCCATCGCACCCGGGGACCGCACATGAAGACCCTTTTACCCCTGTCATCTGAGGATGGTCGGTGGTTTCTGATTCAATCACCTTGTCCATGAGATGAGCACGCGTGACACTGTTGTACCCTCCAGTGAACAGAGAGTTGGAAACATACTGCTCCTCAACCCTCTGTGAAATTGATGGGTCCATGGGTTGGTTATCGGGCGTGGGCGGTATGTGGACTGTGTAGTTCACACTCTCAATCCCACTTATTTCGCTGTCAAGTGAGTCCCTTGATAGGTTCACATACCGGCCCGATGAGGTTCTTCTTGCAAAGGTCACCAAAGGACCGCCTACCGGGAGCTTTGTCATTTGTGGCTCCCCTGCCACTTTGAAGGACTTTCCAGCCATATTCTTCTAAAACTTGCACTAAAGATTTCTGGATCAATACATCAACAGCCTGTTGAAAAAAAGATACAGACATTATGAAGGAGTTAATCTAAAACACAAGAATAAACATGTTTCGTTCTTCAACAAGATGAAATATACTAAGATCATTCAGATTCCTCTTCTTCCTTTTTCTTATTCCTTGTTTGAAGTGTGGAACAAACATTAAGTTATACAAAAAAAACATCTTTTCAGACTTTCAGCAAGAAGTGATATACTGGAATCATTCAGATTCTTTTTCTTTTTTAAATGGTGAAAAGGGTATTCTTCACACAAAAATATAATCTAAGATGACAACTAATCAAAGCTTCAAAAGCAAGGCACTACATGCTCACGGTTCCCCCATAGCATCAAAACCCAATTTGAAAAAATCACATCCGAAAAGATTCATACAACACTAATCCAATACAGAAACCTTATCCCAAGAAAAAAATCCAGTACGAAATCAAAAAAGACCATTTAAAAGAAAGTCATCACCAAAAAACTTTCCCCAAGAACCAAAAGGATCCGAACCTCGATAAAGAATGCAGTTCATACAAGAATATGCAGAGGCCAGATCTTCTTCAATCACACACAAATCTATCAATCAAAGCATATGATTACTGGCCTCCACAAATTGCCCATCACTTATAATAAAGTAAACAAATAGAAATCAAGACCAAAAGCGTGTAAGAAACATCCTTAAAAAAATTGAAAACACGGACAAAAAAACTGCAGGATACATAGCAATTTACAACTGTAAGGAAGCTTAGCTTATACAGACAGGGGCCCACAACCAATATCCTATACAATGAGGACCCAGTCACAAATTTCCCTCTCCTTCGTTTCCTCCTTGATTAAACCGTATGCATTGAATTGCAATTGAACCATTAATGACAGTAAGAATTTCAAGTCAGAAAACGAAACAGCCCATTTATTTATTTCTTCGTTATCCGTCCTTTTCCGAGTTTTTCAACGGATTTATTCGATTGAAGAATGGGTCACAAGACCGAGTAAATAAGAACTGTTAAAAGTGTTTACTGACTCCAAAGGAGTGAAAGAAATTACGAATTGCATAAAAAAAAAGAAAATAAATAGTCAGCTTTGAGAAAGCTTCAAACATTCAAAGAAAAGGTAGTGGACTTACTGATAATCGCCCGAATCTTGGCGAATGGTGATAGATCTGATGAATGCTGGAGCAGAGGTTTCCGGGTTCGGGCTAAGAAGAAGAGAAAAATAGAAAGAAATCTGCCCCGTTAATGGCAGCTCTTGTGAGGTGGTGGTGATGAAGCTTTTTGGTAAGAAATTTTTGGGAGCTAATTAGAAAGTCGGGGCGAAAAAAAGGAAGAGAAGGGAAGAAAATAGGAGTACAAATAAAAATGAAAGAGCGGAAAAAGCGGGGGAGGGGTTTAAGGTAATTTAGGGGGGCTGTCCGCGCACGCTGCATCCGCGTAGTGCAGCTGTTTTACACCTCCCCTCACTCGTATTGTGTGTGCGACTAATTTTTGTACATTAGTTTTCCTCACTTAGGCAGCTACCACAATTGCATTCCGTAAATATAGTTGACATTAAAGTCTAAAATTTAACTTCAAAGTCAACCAAACTTGTATGGTGCATTTTAAGTGGGTTGGGGATAAGTTGAGGTCAGGACTGGGAGTGGGAGGGTTTATCGGAGGGTTAAAAACAATTAATTTAACAAACGGAACACCGTTCGTTAAACTAAGAACAATTAGTTTTCGAGGCAGTGGCTTTTGTGGCAACTGAAACCCAGTGGTCATAGAACCGGACTGTAGTTTCATTTCACTACATCCCTTCCAAAAATAATAATTGGATTCTCATAAACTAAAAAAATATGTGGGATTGAAAGTATGTTAAGGAGAAAGAAAGATTGTGAGTCAATTTCTATAAAGAGGAGAGAAGTCTTTTTTCGGAACGTCTCAAAAAGCAAATAAATTATCCTTTTTTAAGACGAAGAAGTATTTTTTGTAGTCAAACTAGACGAACATTAACCATTTACACTCTCAATTCGTATTATATATTAATATAATAAAATCAAATTTTAAAATTTACAATAAGATATATCAAATGAAATCATTTTTATATTAACATACGTTACATTTTTTATTTAATTGAGGTCTAACATTCTTTATTTGGATTCGAAAAAAAGTAAAACTAAACAAAAATACTGAGACATAAATAGCATTTGATTTAAAAAAAAAAGAAAAAAAATTATGCTAGAAGATTTACAAAAAAAATTGTAGACCTTAGGTGCACCGGAAAAAGTCGCATACTTCGTATTTAATAGGCCCTTTGAAAAATGAAAATCCAGATTACTAATTTTTTGAAGGACACACTACTAATATTAAATTATACTTTCTCTATTCCTAAAACTTTTCAATTTTTATATCTTATTTGTCTCATAAAACATTTCAATTTGAGTTAAATAGATACAATTGTCTTTACTTTTCTTATATCTAACCAAACATATCTCAAGTACCTTTTGCTTTCTATCTATTTTGACATTTTTTGAGCCCTACTCTTTTCGATTATCGTCGTTTTACCTTAATCAAACTTTTACATTTTCCTTTCCTAAAAGTTAAAACAGAAAAAATTTTACGGGTTGGAGGTAGTACGATTATACATAATTACTCTCATATTTAATAAATGATTCTTTTTAGAATTTTTGCGTAAGGTAAATTTACATTTATGCTCTCAAAATTGAATTATTTTTACTAGTATCACACCCGTGCGTTGCACGGGTCATTTTTATGTTATTAAATTTAAATCATTTTTCAATGATAAATTGTGCAAATTTAGTTGATTTTAGAGTCAAAATTGACGTGGTTGGAGGAGTGGGTTGGGGTCGGGACTTGGTGGGGGTGTTTGCCGGGAGAGTTAGGGAGGGTAGGAACTATAAATTTTGTGAACAGAGCACCGTAAGTGTCCCAATTTGTTTAGTTACTTCAGAAACCACTGAAATTCAATGGCTATAGAACTCCACCGAAAAAAAAGTTGTAATAAAGGGATTAAAAGAGATTAGCGTTAGTGTTTTGAAAAAGCTATCCGACGGTAGCCTTTAGCGTTAGCGCTTTCATAATTAATATATACCATTAAAATTTTATTCAAAACGCTAACGCTAATAAAAAACATTGTTCCCAAACAAGACCGAAATAAAAAACATTTTTCCCAACGGAAATTGAATTCTCAATGTTACACTGGACCGCGACCGGACCCTACCCTGAAAAAGTAAACCGGCTCCATGAATAGATAAGATTTCATGTATTCCATTCCATCAGATTCCATCGATAGAATCCATCCATCCATCCATCATCAGAAGCATCGCGAAATGGCGATCGGAAAGCATATCTATCTCATCATCTTCGGGGTTTCTTCTTTTTGGAAACGGAGACTGTGAGAGAGCGATCCCGAGCAGCGACGATTGCGGGTACAATGAGCACTGCCGGCTTCCGGTACACATGAGCAGCGACGAACATTGCCACGCACTCGGAACCATCGAAGCAGGTCATGCGACAATTTCCCACGGTATTCGAACTTCAAACCCTATATTTTCTATTGTTAAAACTCTTGATTTAATTGATGAGCTTTGTTTATCATTCATTGCTGATGCATTTACGAATATTGTTGAAAAATTTTGTGATAGGTTCGATTAATTCGTAAAGTTCTGTTTGGAACTCTATTCTTTGTATTGGAAAATGTGAAAGAAATTGGAATGAATTTATAAATTTGAATTAGAAATCGTTACTTACTTTGAAAGAGTAGTTTTTTTTATTCTCTTTCATGGAATTGAAAGTGAAAAATAGATATTATGATTGATATTAAGTTATTTTAATTGCTTTAGTAAATCTATGAAAGGAAATTAGAAACATAATAAATAATGAACAATTGTTAGTGGTTGCTAAAAAGTACCACTCAATTTGTGAGTATAAGTCAATCCAAAAGTGGTATGATACATTAGTTTAGTGCTGGTTCAGGACATCGTAAACAATGGTGTCAATGGAAGATATGTAGTAAACTAGTAGGTAGTGGGTGTAATGGTGTATAAACAAATGCATATATTCTCATGAAACAATACATCTGAATAGCTAATTAGCTTTTCACCTTGAGTGATTTAATTGTTCTAAAAATAATTTAGAATGCATTTCTGGGAAAGTGTTGTAGAATTTTTGCGGTCAGTAAGTGGCTTCACACACAAATTCTAAAGTACTTATGTTTTCCCTCTTTTCAGTTTTTGCTCTTTATTTTATTTAGGATGACCGAACATATTGTGTATATTTTGTAAGTGATATCAGCCTATGAAATCTCATCATCATTTGTTTTTAAAATTCTTGAAGTCTTACTAGAGAAAAGCATTCATTTTATGGATGGAAATGTATTAAGAGATTATTTTGAGAGGTTGTTCATGGCTGTGTTACATTTTTATATAGACTTGCAATTACATCTATTTTAAAAACATATTGACATTTTTTATGTTTCTAATGGCAGTATAGGTGTAGATTTTAAAGGATAAAGGAGAGGGTGCCTTAACACCAATATATGGATTCTAGCTGTATCAGGTTTTGCATGTGTTTTTTTAAGCCATGACACTCTGTCTTTGTTTGGAACATTGGTTCTGTGTTATTACTATTTTTTACTACGTAGTTACTAATATCCATTGTTCTCAACTGTATTCATGTGCAGGTGTATGACAAATTCCTATGTAAGTCTCTATTGAACAAAACATATTGAGTCTGATTTCATCCCTACCACCGGCCATTCAAAGTCAGGCATCTTAAAAATTAAAGAACCTCAGCCATGGAAGCTGGGGCAATTCCAAGAACGCAACCATTGTTGCTCCTGATTATCCCATCAACCCCGACCAAAAATAACTTCCCAATTTCACTTCCCAATTATTCTTCATCTTCAATCTTCACTCTTTCTGCAACCCCGAGAGGTTTTGGCTATGTCGCCTCCAAAAAGAGAACCAAAAAGTCCTCCAAAAAGAAACTGCCCTTCAGAGACGAAGACGAAGACGAAAATGAAGATGATTATGAACAGGGGGTGGTTCCGGAGATGGTGACGAATCGGATGATTAGGAGGATGGGGTTCACGGTGGGGATCCCTTTGACGGTAGGGCTGCTCTTCTTCCCTTTCTTTTACTATCTTAAGGTTGGTGCTAAGGTTGATGTGCCCAATTGGGTCCCCTTCATTGTCTCATTCATATTCTTTGGGACTGCCCTCTTGGGGGTCACCTATGGGATTGTGTCCTCCAGCTGGGATCCTCTCAGGGAGGGATCTCTTTTGGGCTGGAATGAAGCCCAGAGGAATTGGCCTGTTTTCTTGCAATCTTTTTGGACCGGTGGATCCAAAAAACAATAGTGTGTTTGATGATGATGATGATGATAATAATAATTCAATCTCACTCTTATGTTGAGACCGTTTACTCAAGTTGATTGTAATTTGCCGTTTGCTGCTAAGCTAGTTATTGACAATAATATATAGATTTTGTGTGTTTGCTTGCCTTGCAATCTAAAGTTACTTGTAACAATATTTATTGGGAAAAGTTCCATCGACACGAATAAGGCTTTGTTATTGTTGCATTTCCATTGAGAATTGAGATTGCCTTACGGTGATAGTATTGTGACAATGTGACATTGTCCTTTTGGACACATATGACATGATCGCAAATTTATTTGGTCTAAACCTTCTTGCCCCACCAAATATGAGGCTACACTCGTTCAAAATCTCGGTTACGGGCCTCAAAGACAATTTTTCGACCAATTTTTCAAACAAATAACAAAGCCACAGAATTTGATTTGAATTTATACATTAATTATATTAAGTTTGTGTTCTTTATATTTTGAATAGTCATTGACCATGCAACGTACGAGTACAAAATCTAGTATTTCTCTAGGATTGCAAGAAATCAATCCCTGAGAATGGTTAACGATTGTGAGAGATATAAAACTCATATTTATACTTCCAAATTTGGAAGATATCTAAACCTTCAATTTGGAGGATTTATGATATCTGGATATTTCAAATTTGATATTTCTTTTGGTATCACCAAACACTATAAAACTTATGATATTTAGAAATATCAAACCATATACTCCTCTCTTTTGCTCATCAAATACACCCTTAATAACAATATGAAATCATTTGAGAAGAATACGTGTCAGTGGAACAGTGGTCTATGATAATTTTGATGAGAAAGATAGCATCTCAAATCATTTCGCATGTCTAATCTCAATTCTTACATTTATATCCCTTGTCCAACAAGCAAAGAGGAGACTAAATATAGAGACGAAAAATGAAGACTATCAAAGGGACATCTAGCAAAGAAAGCAAACTAACCAAAAGTACTGTTAGCAAAATGAAATTATCTATAACTAACTACGAGTTTTCTCACCCCCCCCTCCCGCCCCCGCAAGCTGGGCGGTGGTGAAAGCATTCCCAGCTTGGACAACAAGCGATGAAGCTGATCAACTTGCATGATTTTGGTGAGCACATCGACAAGCTAATTAGAAACTACGTAAGAAAGAGAGCTCAATAAGATCCTCGATCAATTTTGAATTGATATATTTGGATATCTCATGGAAGATATACAATGGAGTGTGACAGGCTAGACATTGAATACACAAAATTCTTCCAAGAGGCGTATCAACCAAGTGATCACAAGCAAAGTGATCACAGAAGCGACTTGGGACATAGCTTTGTATTTTGCTTCCGAAGAGGATTTAGAGACAACATTTTGCTTTTTAGATGTCCACAAAATTGGGGAGCCATCAAAGAGAACAATGTATCGAGTGGCAGGCCTGTTGGAAAAAGGATAAGCCCAATCTCGGTCAGAGAAAGCATGAAGGGAGAGCTCGTCAGAATCCTTCACCAGAATACGAAGATCACTGGTTTCGGTGAGATAACAAAGATGATGGATGTAGGATTGGAAGGTGGGGTAGGATTGTGTTACGCTCCAAAATATACTCTAAAAATTAATAACAAATTTATAATAAATCATAATTTTAATTTTCAATTAAATTAAATAAAAATTGAAACAACAATGCTAAAAATTAGGGGGGTTTGTGGATAAGATCCACCATAGCATGACATTGTTCTCAATGTCCCTTGGACCGCCTCGTGAAGAAAGAAAATGTGAAAGGGCCTATTGTCTATTGAGCCTACGCCCAATGGAAGCTGAAGAGGTTCGAAGATAAGTTTGTTTCCTGAGTGACAAAATTGACAATAATAAAGCTGAGTGTAATGGAGCCATTTTCAAAATCAACAAAATACATAGTTCAAATCCAACCCTTTACTGCAGAATCTTACAAAAGAATAAATATGTATAGCTGTGTGATAAATAAGTAGAGATTACCAAAAGGACATTATTATAATTATTGTGCTACATACAACTTTCTTCAAAATGAAATTACAATTATATATCTGAGGCAGCTAGCGGCGCAACTTACCCGCTGGGCGTGTGTGGGTGTTGGTGTCTTTCGCGATAGTTTTGGTTTCACCTTGAGCTCTTCTTGTTTGACGAATACCAGAGCTTCTTCTGGCACACCAACATCATCTCCTTCTCCACATTGTACTCTGTGGCTTCTTTACGACAGCTCCATCTCATCCCTTTGGCTAGACTCGCGATAGCATCTGCATAATAGCTGGCCTCGCGAATCAATGCATACCCGTTGGGCCTCAAAATGCGGTCCATTTCTAGCAGTACATACTTCATCTCACATCTGCAATACATTGTAAGCGATTAGGGTCCGTTCCGAACACTGAAAATATCCATAATCCGACCAGGGGATGAAAATTTGATGCAAAATAAGCGAATTGAGGGTCTCTTGGAAACAGCCTGTTCTCGAGTAGGGGCAAGGTCTGCGTACGCACACCCTCCCCAGACCCTACTTGTGTAGGATTTACTAGGCTTGTTGTTGTATATTTGTTCAAACATAAGTGAAACCTTCGTTAGTTGTCTTTCTTCCCTTTCCCTAAGGGTCCACACATACCCTAAAAGAGTAGGCTGCTCTAGGAAGGGATCAAGAAAGATGACCTTAGAACTTCCAAGGACAACGCATTTACCTGTGACTTTCTGCAGTGAAGTGGCCATCTAGGTGAAGCAGATCATACGTTCTAGGATACGTTGAGAACGGCTCACACCTGTGCACACAGGGAAAAAAACATTCTTAAACCAAACAAAAGAAATGCATGGAAACATTCATGAATTGCACGACGGTATCGGCTCACCAGTCGTGATAGACACCAATAAGACCACGGTCATATACTACAGGAAGTGTATTTGCAGAGTACGATGAGACCACATTCATGACCCAAAGAGGATCGTCAATCAGAGAAGCAGCAAAGCCTCCATACAATGTGTTCATATCCATCACATTCCTTATCTTATCGGTGCCAAGAGCAGGAAGCAACTTCTTGTAGTGCTTCACCCTTGTCTTCCACTTACTGTTATCGTGATTAAAAGCCCCATCGCTTCCTCCACGAACTTGGTTAACTCGTTCTGGAGCAGTTTTCAACCTCTCCGGCCACTTGGGCAGAGATTTAAGTTCTGTTTTCTTAGCCTTTGGCACTACGACGCAAGGGCGGAGTGGTACATACCACGCTGAATCTTGTTCGGTGCCATCATCACATTTCGGTGGGTATGCTTCAGGACTGTCAAGTTTCTTGTAGCAGTTAGGGTCTGCTAGTTTCTGCCAAACGGCAACATCGTCTTGTTTCTTGTACAGTTTGAAGCACATTGACGTTAGCAAATCTTGGAGCTTCTCATAATCTGACTTCTGTTCTTCAATGGTGGTGTTCCACCCTCTCCATCGGTGCTCATAGTTCACGGGCGGGCCAGAGAGGACCCAGAAACCACCCGGACGTAATATGCGATGTATCTCAAGAAGGTAAAGTCCACCTGCAATTATCAAAACCATGTTCATTTGGTTACTAAACTAAATGAAATGAATGTGATCATCATCATCACCATCATTTGGGTATAGTTGAATTGAATTACCAAACTCAGTCCACGGAATTAGACATCTTGAGCAATGAGCCATATCAAAAGAGCTTGAAGGGAAAGGAAGACGCTGGGTTGAAATGATGCCAAGAATTGCAGGAATGCCGCGCTCCAAAGCAAACTGAACTTGGGCTTCGTGATTATCTCTCGGTGCAAGAGAAACTGTCAAGACCCCGCGGTCTAGCAGATCTCCTCCCCAGCTAGCTACCTAAAACATAACAAGCATAATCATCTCCTTCACTCTCAAAACTTATTACAGAGTTCAAACCAAAATTCTGCAGAAAACTTGTAATCCCCTAAAAAGATTAGTTTTTTTAATGACTGCAATGCAAAGAACAATAAGAAAGGAGAACTTACCCCGCATCCAGTATCAATGGCGGTCCTTATGGTGCCATCTTTCATACCAGGAATCAGACTTTGCATGAGATCCACATAACGGCTAACACCATCAGGGAACATTGTACCTCCTCCAGGGAAAAGGAACTTCTCCCCTTCTTTCTTTAACCAATGTTGGTTAGATTTTTGTTTGTTAATCCAATCATACGGAACATTCCTGAAACCAGCTGAAAATGAATCCCTGATCCTCAAAATTGAAATCCGATGAAGTGTATTACATATCATAAGATGCCGTACCTGTACCAACATTCATCTTTGCTCTTTGGCCATCTGATAGGCAATTTATAGCCATCGGGTGGAGGAATCAAACACTCATTTCTCTCAAATACCGGAGGGCAGTGGCGCTCCAAGAAACTTAACCGATGAGGATCGTACCTCTTCCACCGCTGAAACACGATCACCACGAAAACATAAATATTACCATGTTAATTCCCGCTTATTCTTTTCCAGCTCAATGAAACAGAGATTTTAGAAAAATATAAAAAAATGAATCAAGATCAAAGAAAAGAATGAATTACAACCTTTGGATCTGTGCATGGAGTGTAGTCTTGTGAGTCCGGGGTGCATTCCGGAAAGGAAGTGGCTTTGATTTGCAGCGAGGCGGAGACGGTTTCCTTGGGAGATTCAACTTCCTTTGAGACATCATTAACAGCAACATATCTCTCCTTCTCAGAACAGAAGATCCTACCAAGATAGAAAGAAAAACCACATAGCACCAAGAACATTATTGCCATGGGTACTCTCCTGGAACTTTTGTCTGGCTGTGATATGGGCTTCCCATCTTTATACTTCATGGTTCTTAGTTGTATTACAAGCTGAATCTGTTCTCCCACACAAACAAAGCAGCTTATGCTTCACCAACCTTTGCCCATCAACAAAAGGAAAAAAAATCAATCAACAACAAAGATCGCGAAAGAAAAAAACTGAAACTGTCTGATAGTAACAAAGAAAGTAAGTGCGATGAAACTTAACGACCCAGATCTACCGGCCAAGACTTACTATTGGAGTCTAATACGACCATAGTAAGATCTAAGAACAGTAACCGTTTCAAGTATCTTTTCTAAATACAGAGTAATAATGGTGATATGTACACGCACTACAGTCTCTTTTGAGGGCCCTCCTTTGGCAATAAAGCCGGCAAAGATTAGGAAAACTCCGAAACTAGCCCAATTAATTTCCACACCTAACGGAGACCCATGAGACAAAAGAAACAACTATTCATGTGAAGCAGGTAGAGGCACCGCAAGAAGAACAGAGAAGCAGTTTCACTTGCTTAATTAATGAGCATGCGAAGTAATCAGTCCTCTTAAAAGTTAAAAACACAGATTCTAATTTATGGAATTCCATCAAGAAATAAGTAAACTAATACAAGATTCAATCTTTCTTTCTTTCTTTTCCAGAAACATCACACAGTTCTTGGATCATGACAAATCTTGCTCCATTTGACCACCACACCAAATGTGAATGTGATCTCTGGGCAGTCTGGGGAAAGGAAAAGAGAGAAGACCCAGAGATCCCAAATGCAAGAATGTAAAGGGAAAGAGGGAAATCAGTCAAACAGATCAGAGAGAGAGAGAGAGAAAACACAGTGTCATGGCAAATAATTCAACTATGGCCAATAGAGAAAGGAAAAGGGGAAAAAGTACCTCTGACAAAATAGATCAAACAGTTGGAAGGCAAGAGAGGAGAAATGGAGCAAAAGACATTGGAGTGTGTTGACGTATATGTATAGCAACCCGATGGAGAAAGAAAAAAAGAAAGCAGAGAGAGAGGGGGGGGGGGAGCCACTTGAATGCTCGCTGTAAAAGAATCTCTCCCCTTCTTCAGCCGACTGAATTTAATTTTTAAAATGAAATTTCTTTGTGGTTTTGGCCTTTTGTTACTGCAACTCCGCTTTCAATGGATGGTATATCTATCTATCTACTCCGTATATATATCATCAATAAATGCGTGTATGTATGTATATTACTGTACACACATTCTTCTCGTTCTCTCTCTCTTTCTTTATTTCTATCTCCTTGGCGCGGCGGCGGCGGGGCATTCCGTGCAGGTAAAAGGTGAAAAAGGAATGAACTCTGCGGAGTGGGAGCATTATTTATGGCATGGCAGCACATTCTTTTCCTCTTTTCTTCTTTCTTTTCTTTGTTCCTTGTTCCTGTTTATGCAAGATATGAGATACTCTCTCCCTCCACAAATAAACTTTACATTACGTGTTATGACTGAAGTTATTTTCAAATCATTTTATATGAAAAATGGTGTAGAATTGAAAAATAAAAATTACATATTAAAAAAATATATCAAAAGATCTCCAAAACAAGAGGTGACATCATGACTATATTATTTTATCAAATGGGTGACGAAAATAAGCCAACAAAGTGAATAAAATTTGACCCTGTGAATAGTGAACGTAAAGTTTATTTGTGGTCGGAGGGAGTATTTGAAAAAAAAGATGAGCCACATCCCGATTGCAGACACACTATGCATAACATAATTACCTTCCAGCGCAGTTGCCAGAAATCGAACTCAGATCTTATCTCCTTGGCACCCCTTGCCTTGCCAACTGCGCAACGCTACCGGCGTATCACATATTTGGAGGGAGTATTTGAAGAGACTAAGTTTATATTTTTTTTAATTTATTTTTATTAGTTATTAATTTTTTTATTAGAATTAGATGAGATCATATTAAAATATAATCATTGATTACTCTTAATTTGTGTTGCATATTAATATAATAAATTAGAATTTTAAATATTTTCATTTTGAATTAATTTTTGTACCAAAATACATTACAATTTTTAATTAATTAAGTTTAAAGTTTATTCATTTTAATTGGAACAATACAGAGGGAGTAGTACTTGAACAAATTAAAATGAGTAGTAATGGCAATCCAACAGATTCACGTGGAATTTGAGTTGATAGTTACTAGCACGGAGTATCATCCACAACCACAAGGCGGTGCCGTTCCATCTTTCAAATGTCGGTGCGGTACCGGTACCGGTTCCCGAAACTGGTGGTACGTCTCGACCGGCGGTATGGTAGCGGGTACCGGCGCTACCGTTTTTGATCATTAGGTAAAATATACGGAGTATTGGGTGAATTCGATTTTAAATTATTTGAATTTTCAATAACTCAAATTATTTAATTAAGGAGTATATATACGGTACCAAGTATATATACGGAGTACCGGTACCGTGTCCACCCCTAGTACCAAGTATATATACGGAGTACTGAGTGAAGCCGATTTTAAATTATTTGAATTTTCAATAACTCAAATTATTTAATTACTGTTGTACTCCTTTAACTTAAAAATAATATTCTTTTTCTCCATAACCATCTAAACGACATGGAGGAAATCACTAGGTAAAATAAAATACTTCTTAATTTATTTTATTTAAAACTTTCGTTAAGAATTTTATAAAATAAAAAATATGAAAAGTGACGACATTATTATATTTTTTTTATCATACAATCAATAACAATACACATGTAAACAAATTTTATTCTCGTGATGATGAAAGGAATAATTATATTACTCTCTCCGTTTAGGAAAACAATTCCTATATTGATTCTAGACAAAAATAAAGAAAGAATATTTGTAGTTAAGTTTTCAATTTTGCACTTGATGATGAATATTGTAAATAAAAAAGTGGATTTTGGTGAAAGAGAAAAAATGGCCTTAAATAATGAAAAGAAGCAACTAAATCAACTGACAACAGTCGAGTGAATTCATTTTTATTTCAATTTATTTAACGAATTATACTTCCCCCGTCCCTAAATAAACTTCCCCTTTTGACTTTTTGAAAATTTAAGGGGAAGATATTTTTGTGTTGACTTTCCAAAAATACTCTTGATGTGATGTGTAAAAGTAAGATGTGATATGTAGATTATTAGTAAAAAGGTATGATGTGATAAGTAGAGTATGAAAAGTAAGAGGTAAAACGGGGTTTTTAAGGGAAAAGAAAAGTTTATTTGGGGACAAAGAAAGAGGGAACTTGGGAGGTAGTCCATATTATTGGACTCTTTTCATCCCAAAATTATATTCTCAATTATTTATTTACACAATTAAATTGTTTATTTTGTGAGAAAATAATACTAATAGTTAGGAGGGATTGTACTCATGGGTCCGTGACTGTCGGTGGGCATCCCATCCTAAACTTCACAATTTATGAGAATAAAATATCAAATGCCGCATATATATCAGATCTGGAAATGTTATTTCTTTGCTACATCACTTTTAGCTTAAATCACAATTTCACTGGAAATTGATTTGAAGTCTCAGAATTTCAAATTGTAGTTCAATTTTTTTTTAACTTTTTAATACACATTAGTAAAATTAATTGAATAACATTTGATTAATAAATTAAATTTAAACGTAAATAATTAATTAAATAAAAAGTACATTAAATAAAAAACATTAAATTAAAAAATTACCTTACTAAAACAAGAAAGGCTTAAGATTACTTGAATGAGTAGAAAACTTAAAAATTACATTATATTGAGCGACTAAACATATGTTCGATCATATCCACCGTTAGTGCATCGTGAATCTCTCGACTTCGAATTTCTTGGCGGGCTTTGCATTTTTTTTGTTCGTCAATTTCTTTGTAGATAGGCACCCTCTCGTTTGGGTTGTAGTGACAAATCACAAACCCAAAATAATTGATAAGATTTCATTAATTAATTAAATTTTAGCCGAAATAATTCATTAAATAAAAAATACATTCAATAAAAAAAGTAATTAAATTTAAAAAACAACAAAAAAGTTACTAAAAACACAAACATTATTCCCTCCGGTCTCAAAAACTTTTCTTGTTTTGATTTTTTTGTCAAACAATAACATACTTTAACTACAAATTGTAAGAAAAATATATTCAATTATAATATAATTTAAATATAGTTGGATTATTCTTAAGATATAGTTTTGATATATCAAATAATTATATCATTTATTTATTTAGAATATGTTTAATTTATCATCAAAGATTGTCACCGTTTGACTAAAAAAGTCAAAACAAAAAAAATTAGGACTGGTTAGCTTTAGTGAATATATAGAGTAAAAATGGGTTTGTGTATATTATATATTAAAAAAAGAGAGTGAATATAAAGAATAAAAAATTTCTTTTTTTTAGCCCAATGGCACTAATGTAATTATTTTGTTGTTTTTCAATCGAGGGCCCACGGTTTTTTCCTTTCTTTCCCGTTAAAAGTTTGACGCAAAAGCTATGAAGCCCCTATAACGCCCAAAGTGAAACTTGTACTAAGCAGTAATAAAACATATGTCATTTCTCAATGTAGTACTTGATTTTTTTATTCTCTAAATAATACGTACTTGAATAATGTCTAGTGATGGTTGATATTTAGTTTGAACAATGTCTAGTGGCGGTAGACAACTACTTGAACAATGACCCGTGGACAATGACCAGTAATGTTATATTGGAAAATAAAAACATATACTCCGTAATATTGGATTGAGAATGTCACTATGTTTTAGTACCATATAGATCTATTAAAAAAATAAAAACACCTAGGCGTTAAGATATTTCCCGTGCTCTAATAATGTTCATCCCCCTATTTACAACAGCAGCAGGAAATTTATCCCGCCTAAAAGTTTGGGCCGGATACTGTAACAGTGGGCCGAACATTTTCTAAAGCAAATCTAATTATTGGGCTGCGTTATTCTTTGTTGGAATATACTTAATATTTCCAGTTTAAAATTTTAGTACGATTCTTTCAGTTTCAAACATTAAATACAAAATAGTAAACAATCACTTCTCAAACATCACACCATTTTTTATGCTTTTAAAACTAATATTATTAAAATGCATCTTAAAATCAAATCCATAAATTGTAAGCAAATTAACATACAACCATTATTACAAAAACTATGGTAATGATATTAAAAAAATATTTTAAAAATGTTTTATTAATTTTATTATGGGCAGTTTCCAGAAAAAAAGTAAAAAAGATAAAAAAAACTCCCCACTCCGTGCTGACAAAAAAATTGGAAACAAAATTATATTTCTCATACAAAAAGAAAAACAAATAAAAACAATTAAAAAACAACTGTTGTACGTGGTTTCACACTTCTCCACTTCCCATAAAACCTGGGCAGCAACCACCACTCCTGCACCACCTCTCCTCCAGACCTGCAGTATAAATTGGGCAATTCCATATGCTTCCACACAATTATCACAACAATCAACTCCCAGCCTGCAAAGGAAGAACACAGAAAAATGTCAAGTGCATCAAGCGGAAGTGGTGGCATCTGGTCATGTTTGAAAGCTTTGGATGACACCAAACAAGATTGGGCCATTTGCGTGAGAGCTGTTAGAGTTTACAGCGTTCCTACCCGGGACGGAAAAGAAAACACCATGGAAATTATTTTCCATGATTCAGAGGTATTTGTATACAACACATTAACTGAAAATTTTGTATAGGTTTATGTTAGAAAGTAGAAGCATGTTCTTTTCTAATTTACAGGGTACCAGAATTCATGCCCAAGTTAAGAGAGCACAACTAGAAGATTTCAAACCCAAAATCAAAGAAGGAAAAGCTTGTGCACTCAAAAATTTTGTGGTTAACAAGAATGACCAACCCTACAAAACCACAGACCACCCATATACCTTGTGTTTTTATAGACACACAGCCTGGAAGGACATCAGTGCATATCGTTTTCCCAGCTTTATGTCAAAGTTGTGCCCTTTTGAAAAATTATTAGAACCACTATCCGAGAGTTGGCTTACTGGTAAGAGAAATTCAGATTTGTTATCATACTAATCTTATCCTATTTAATTTGAATTACAGATGTGATTGGAAAAGTTGTTGCAAGGACAAACATCCAAATTCGTATGGTTCGAGGGGAACCCCAA